GAAAGCTTTAAATCGAAATCTTTCGGTAAAGTCAGGTAGGTAGAAAATTAATAGATCACTGATGACGGTTGCGTGTGTTGCGGTCGAAACGTCGTGATCTATTAATTTTCTATCTACGTGACTTTACCGAAAGAGTCTTGGTACAATATTTATCAAATGGATTATTGCAGGGATCATGCATCAGGGTTTAGAGTCATTTGCCCAGGGGGTCTGTCTGGGTGACCTCGTTACGGGATCCCAACTGTGGTGTTGGTGGTGGATTTCGTTTCCTCACAGCACTGGCACACGGAGGCAAAGGTGGCAGGAAACTTTAACAATCTCGCAGTCGTGTGCAAGGGGCTGGTTGCATTCACGGGCAGAGTGGTGCTGTTGTTGCTTGTATTTATGTTGCGAGTGTTTTTGTTATTGCTACTAATGTGGTTTATGCGGCTGATATTACTGTTGCTGCTGGCACCAGTTTCAGCGGGTGTTGGTGGTTTCTCTGGTATGTGCTGTTGTTACTGATCTTGTCGCTGGCGTTATTTATCTCAATTCTGTGTTGTCGGTGTTATTAGTGGAGTGTGAGGCTGATGCTACTGTTGTTTATGTTACCCGCGTCGCACGTTGCCGTGGGCAGGGGAGCACCAGTTGTTGACGCTGGTGTGTAGGGTTGGTGTTCGTGGAGGTGGTGGGGGCGAAGGGGTTTGGGGCGCAGCGGAATTAAACATTAATGGCCTCAGAGCTACTGCTGTTGCCCCGGGGCAATGGAGCCAGCCGAGTGTCAGTGTGACACCTAGGGCCATGAAACCTGTTTATGATCCGCCCTTCTTGCGTTTTCACCCACACTTTCACGTGTTCATTCGTGAAGCATGTTTTTTTTTTCTCTTGTTATTGCCATTACACGTGTTGTTTATTTTAGCGCAACACTGGGACGTTTAGTATTTATTTAACCGGCCAACAGGGGAACTTGGAAGATGATCAGGGTTAGGTTCTGGGTGGAGAGGCTTAAACACCTGGGCAGTATCGATGCGTATCTCCCCATGAGTCTGTGCTCCCCATGGAGGCAGTGAAGGTGATGGTAGGCGTTAATGTGGTGGGGGTAGAAGAGATAAGTGGTAGAGGTGGTGGATGTAATAATGCTGGTGGTAGCAGAGGGAGTCTTGGGGGCAAGAAAACTCACCCCACTCCCAGAACCTGTTCCCCAGGATTCCTCCCCAAGCAGCACCCGGATAACATTGGATTCCTCCACAGTACGGTGTTGCGCTGCACATGACCTCTTCACGACAGACGCAGACATAACTGTCATTTGCCATCTTGCCACGCTAGCAGCCGGCTCTGTTTAAATAATTAAAATATAGAAATGAAAAATAACAATTTGAACCAAAAAACCTCCTTGTGCCGGCAGTGAAACAAGCGGTGGCAGTGTGGGCCGGGCGGTAGGGCGCGTTCGGACGTGCCGCTGGTTTAAGTCATGACAATCCGTGCATTATGCTCGCGGGCGCCTGGGGCGGGCGGTGCTGCGTGCCTTCACTCGCCGGCGCGGGTTTGGAGCAGGTGTTGTTGCACAGCCCCCATATGGCCCCACGGTCCCATGACTCCCATTACTACATTGGTCCAGCGGCTTCATGCCATGGCTCCGCGAGACCATTGTCCCCCGATTCATAGGCGCCGTGAACCTAAAGCCATGGCTTCATGGCCCCAAGATTCCATGTATTCATGTATGCAAGGCCCAATAGTGCCATGGCCCTGTAAAGGTGCTCAGAGCCTCCGAGATGGAATTGATGGCTACATTATGGGCCATCCTGTACTCTCCCCAGTCGTCCTGTGCGCCACTTCTCTATTCCCTGCATTTTTTTCCTTCTATTTATTGTAATTTCCACGCCTTTTTGGCCAGGTCCTCGGAATATAAACTTCTTGGAAATCGCCGCAGGCAGCTGAGAGAAACGGGCTCAGGTTTGAGTTGGCACTGGCGTTCGGTGTGGTTTCAGGCCACGGTTGTTCTCCCTGGGTCTCAACATAAACCCCTTTGTTTTACAGCCTCTGCCACCCCACTGCCTGCACGTGGTGCGCCATCGCCCCACCATGGTACCAAATGGTGCCCCTCTGCATCCTGGTGGTGTCCCCATTTGTATTGGTCCTTGTGGGCCGCAGAGATGTTCGTAGCAGCAGCAGCTTACCCGACACTGGGGTCGGTTGACGCGTCTGGTGCGTCTCGGAGGAATTCGAGGGCTAGCAAGTGCACCGGCGCGTAGCCCCCTGGCGTGTGGATGGATTTGGTCATTTCACAGAGAAGGCCCCCTTGAGTTTCCTATCTTCATCAAGTGACCTGGTTTCCATGACGCAGCTCCTCCTCTTCCCAGTGCCACCGCCGCCTTCCTTCCTTCCCTCCCTCCTCCCCCTTGAGCGGAGCCGCTGACGTCAAATAATATCGCTCCGCCCCATCCGCGCGTCTCAACCAATCGCCGCTCGCCTCCTTTAGGCTCCGCCCCGTTCCGCATGCGTTTTCATCTCTGGTCGCCCCACCCCCCTTAACCCGCACCACCGGACTGGGCACACGTGACTCTGCCCCCCGCCCGCCGCCTCACGTGACCACGCCCCCGAGTTCGCCTCGCCCCGCCTCGTAACGCGTCCGGATTGGTTACGGGCAGCGACGTCTGGCCCCGCCCTCCCTCCCTCCCCCGCCTGGCCCCGCCCCTCCCCCCGCCTGGCCCGCCCCTCCCCCCGCCTGCCTTTCCTCCATGCTCTGGGCTGGGTTGGCCTAGGCCGTCGCTGCCGCCGCCGCCGCTCGTCGCCTTTGTCTGCGCCGCTCCGCGTCCCCGACAGCGCCGTGCGCGGACTCGGGATTCGTTTTCTTCGGAGGGAGCCGTGGGCGATGTCTTCTCTTTTTCGCCGCGCGGCGAGGGAGTAGCGCCACGCCGCAAGACAACCTCCGGCGAGCGCCGCAGCCTTCGTAGCCCCGGCCGCCGTCGCCGCCGTCGTCGGAGGGAGGCGCGAGGAGGAGACGCGGGAGATTGATTATTGCGGCAGCGCCGCCGGGCTCGGGCGGCGCGGGGATCGCGGGGAAGGGAGATAGCGGGAGCGCCGCCACGGGACATGGGCAGCCCGCACATTCCGGGCCGAGGCGCCTTCTCGGCAGGTAGGCGATCTCCGCACCCCCCGGGGCTCCTGCACGACATCGCCGCCGCCTCTCGGCCGCTACCCCCCCCCCCCCCCATGGCTCCTGCTCTCCCGCGCTCTCTTATCTCGTTCCTCCACGGCTCCCTTGTCCCGTCTCCTTCCCGCCTTCCTGCTGTCTCCCTGCCGTCTCCCACTCCAATCTCGGCTCCTCGCCTCGTTCGCCCGTGCTCCCCTATTCCTTTATTTAGCCACGAGGGCGCGGAGACACCGATGCGAGTTGTGTTCCGCCCGCGCCGCAAGGCAGCCATGCTCCGACGTGGATTCCGCGTTTATTTAAATTCTCATCCGACACTGCGGCGGCGGCACTGTCGACACACAGTGACCTGCCTCTTGCGAATCGTGCCACGGCACCGTTAACGGCCGTAGCAGACCAGACGGTGGTGGGGGGTGTTGTTGTGTGTGGGGATGAGGAGGACGAGGGGGGGGGGACGTGAACACGCGGTCGCTATGGGTGCAGGAGGAGCGGGGGACCGGGATGGGGACTCCACGCAGAGCGGGGGTCGCCGTGGTTACCGGTCACGACCCCCGCCCCGCCTCGCCGCAAAGGGACCGTGGGGAGGTCACGCACACACAAGGAGGTGCTGCTGCTGCTGTGAGATTCTCAAATGTTTCTGCGAGGTGCTGAGATTCATGTTGGGTGCGGAGAGATTCCTCCGTGAGATGCTGAGAGAGATTCATGGCAGGCTACTGAGAGATGTAGTGACATTCCTGTGAAATACTGTCGGATGCTGTGATATCCCTGAAGGAATATGCGACCCGTGTCTCCTCACCCCTCTTCTGTCGGATATGCACACCAGGGCCGTGTCCCAGACTCCCACACTCGTATGGAGCCGTGTAATTAGTGTAGAGATGCACTGTACTTTAAAATCACCGGTGCTCCTCCGCAGTCTCGTGGCTCCATGAGCAGTGCCGCTGATGTCGAACTTTGTGTTTGCGAAGCTTCGGACTCGTGTTGGTGGACACGCGACCTCTGTGTCGTCAACAAAACGCGAGCTGACTGTTTTGTTTTTGTGTTTGAGTGTCGTCCTAAGTGGGTGGAGGCTTTGGCGCCAACAATAGAGGCGAATGCGGTCTGAGGTTCCTCTTGTTCTGTACAGTGCAAGTGTACAGTGGCGTTGTGCCTTTTTGTTGCTGTGAATCTTGATTTACACACTCGTCCTTGAGCGCCCCGTTACACAAGCTTTGGATGTTCGTGATAAATACGTGGGGGGGGGGGGGGGGCTTGTGTGACCAGGAGCTGGGCCCCCCCCCTTATTGGCTATTAACCTCTCAGCGTCCTCCCCCATTAACAGTGAACCTCGCATCGGCTTCTCCACCCTTGATCTCTGCCCCCCTACTCAGTACCGCCACTCTCATCTCCATTGAAGATCTCGACGTTCTCCAGGCGCGATCTCTAACTCAACATGTTCACGTTGTATTTAAGAGCGCGACACTCCGCTCTTGTGACCGCTGCTCATTATCTCTCCACTCCGTCTTCATCCAAATGATCGTTCTACACCTGCAAGCCCCTCTTCCGCTTACACACCACGTTCACATGGTTCTCCGATCACAATCCAACTCGTGGTCCCTGCCGTGTGCCGCGCGACACCCTGGGGGGGGGGGCTGCATTCCCACTTGCACCTCGGGTCCCTGTGCCTCGCCGTGCTTCGTGGCGCGCCAGTGGAACTGCGTGGCCCAGGGAGAGCGGGGGGGGGGAGGAACGGGGAAGTGGGGGGCTGTGCAGGAAGCGGTTTTGCTGCCAGCTCTGTAACGGAGCCCCTCTCCAGGGATCGGCTCAGAGCCGCGCTTATTAGAGCGGCGGCGGCTCCATGTTCGCTTTGCTCTGCAAGCTGCCCCACTTTACTCCTAGCCTGCTTTGTGCGTCATAAAATGGAGTATTAGCATACTGTCGTGCTGCGTGTGCGAGAATGAAGTACTCCGTCAATATTGAGCTCTGCAAAAATAAATCGGCGTCACGTTTGAGTTTTCTCATACCCTTCAATCTTTACTTCCTACTTATTGTTATCATTAAGCAGCAGGGAGCTAGAGTGAGGCCCACGAAAGGGGAGATGGAATTGAGGCCTACACAAATAGGCTGCAGTTATGTGGGGCATTGGGCAGTCTTTCATCCAGTCGTGAACTGAGATTGGCCGAGACGCACACTCCTCCGTGTGTCAGGGTTATCTCTGTAACAGTCTCCGCGCGTGTCCGTGGCGGGGGGGGGGGCCGCGCGTGTCCGTGACGGGGGGGGGGCCGCGCGTGTCAGAGAGAGCACCCTTGTCTTGGAATCATCGCATGCACTTGTCTCCATCGTGTGGTGGTTGAGGCTCCAGCACTCTATGATTCGTGGGCAGGTGGGGGCGCTAGCACCATTGCCTGTCACAATGCTAATGGACGAGCCCCGAGTCCCTAACTGCAAAATTCCCCCGGCACATGAGTGGAGACGCAGCGGCTGGGGGGCAACCGTTCAGCGTCTCACGATCATATTGTTAAATGGGTTTCTTAGGGGCAGCTGCCGCCTCGTCTGCAGACGAGGGCGGAGGCTGGGATGGCATTGGCAGAAATGAAAGAAAAGAGCATTTTGGGGGTCAGGAAGGGCAGGAGGAACAACACTTGCTCACCCACATCCAGCACACGGAATAGTCTCAGGTAATGCCGAGATATGTACAATTCCCTGGTGTAACAGAGATGAGGTCATTAAGTCATGCGGTAGGTTTTCCCAATAGGTTCTCTCCTCTCCTGCCCTCCCCACCCACAGCTCCCTTGCACAGCCAGGCCAAGGTGGCTCTTTGTGCAAAACGTATTGATGTAAAAATGAGAGAGAATTCAAGCCTTGTCAAAGCAGCATCTAAGCAGGGCAGGGGAGAGAGCTGCTGTGAAGGCCTGGGGAGTGAGTGGGAGGGAGAGTAGTAGGTGGGGAGAGATGGGATAAGGGTGGAGGAGGGAGGGAAAGAAAAGGGGGGGGGGAGTGAGGGTCAGGAGGCGGGATGGGGGAGCTGAGAGAGAACGTCTGTCGGCAGTGGGGTGAGGGATGTTGTACTTGGCGTGAGGTGAGCTTCGTTTTACCGCATGGTAATCGGACAAGAAGCGAGAGGAAGGCCGACATGCATAGCTGCCCCTTTGGAGTGGAAGCTGCTGGCACTGCAGCCTACGCTCTGATTCCCGCTCGGTTAATTTGTTGCTGTGAGAAACATGCAGGCGCACCGAGCGATACCGAACGCCATACGCATTTGGCCACCTCGGCACTCATCGTGCGTGCATGGGATTATGGGTGTCCGAATAGGTGCTTGCACATCTGCTTAGCGGGTTAGGACATGATACATGTGTGGCCAGCGTGTGGGGCTCATGTGTGCAGTAAGTACAGAGTCTGTGGTAGGTACGGCGCTCATGTGTGTGTGGTAGGTACGGGGTGAGCGTGGTGTGTGTGTGATCGGCGTGGGCAGGAAGGGTGGCGGTGGCACCCAGTGCGTAACACGTGCACATCAAACGATTGGTCTGTGTGAACGCTTTTTACTTCCTATTCCCCCATCTCTCCCACCCTCCCGGTGGAATCGAACAGCCCCTCACTCACTCTCTCATCGGCTCCGTATATATCATAGCACGTCTTCGTCTGCAGTCAGTCCAGGATTCTGCTTGTGTGTGTGTGATTTTATTTTAACACTACATAAATATAATTATTTTTATAGTGTTTTAAGCGTGTGGTCATGGAGGGGTGTGCGTATAGGGGCGTCGCGGTGTCGAGATGTGTTAACTACCTCGCCTGGTATGCAGGAGGTCGTAGGTTCGATCCTGACCCTGACGATTGTATTTATGGTCGCGTGGATCTTCTCGCGGTTCTCCGGTTTTTCCCTCCACATTTAGAAACATTTGGCTGCTAGAAATTTCTACGTGATAAGCCACTTCATTTGGCTATTATTTGTGGCCAGGTCGCTTCTGAAGTAGAGCTATATTGCTTATTTGGCCTTACCTGGTAAAATAAAAAATAGGTTTTTTTAAAGTGTGTGTGAGAGTGATATGTGTATACGTGTAAGCAAATGTTTGTGTGTTGATTCGGCCTGGTGCAGTGTGTAAACAGCACTGGAGAGACAAAGGTGGCCAGGCTTGACAGCCCTCCATCCCTTGGAGCACCATGCCAACTTTAATAGATTGCCAGCTAGCAGCACTTTCCTTGACATCTGATGTAGTCTGTCATGGGGATGTTTGTCTTTGTATGTGTATTTGAGCGTGTGTGTGAATGTGTGAGCGCGCTTGTGTGAGCGCGCGTGTGTGCTTGAGTCCCCGTGCGTGTGTGTGGTAATGTTTACTGACCTCCGCCGTTAACCTGAGCGACCTACATCTGCGCGTGTCGCAGGTATCCGGCCTCCGATCATCAACGGCCCGATGCATCCGCGGCCACTGGTGGCGCTGCTCGATGGCCGTGACTGTACGGTGGAGATGCCCATCCTCAAGGACGTGGCCACCGTGGCGTTCTGTGACGCCCAGTCAACGCAGGAGATCCACGAGAAGGTGCGATGCCCACTAACGAGGCCTGCTAATGTGCCTGCCCCTGGCTGCCTCGTAAGGCCCTTCAAGTGCGCGCGCTCGCGTTTATATCAGCATGTGTCAGTGTGGGAGTCCAATTCTCTGTCACTTGACACGCTGCTACTATGAGTTCCGTGTTCTTGCTTGCCGTTATCAGCAGTGGTTGCTCTGAGGTCTTGATGCGTGAAAGTGTCAGAGGTATAAGAGTTTGTGAAACTGGGGTGGGAGGGGGGGAGATGGCAGTGATGGATGGTGCGGTGCAAGCGGGCGAGTCCCTCCATTTATGCTGACCCGACTAGTGTCCCTGTGTAGGTGTTGAACGAGGCGGTGGCGGCGCTGATGTATCACACCATCACGCTGACGCGCGAGGACCTTGAGAAGTTCAAGGCTCTGCGGATCATCGTGAGGATCGGCAGCGGCTATGACAACGTGGACGTTAAATCGGCCGCAGAGCTCGGTAACAGCAACGCATCCTCGCACAGCGATTGAACAACATGAACAATTAAAATGCATAAAGCGTCTGAAGGGCAATCGCATTTCTAGATGCTTTACAAAAATGAAAAACTAGGATTTGTGTAGAATGGTGGGGTTGTTGAGGTTAAGCAGGGCAACAAGGGAGGAGAGTGAGAGGGGCAGTACCGCTGCGCAATCCAGGACGAAGCAAACGGGGCCCAGCACCTAACACGAGCCCCAGGGACAGCGGATGCATTGTGCGTCCGACGCCACAAACGATGACAGCGCACAGTGCAGTTGCCAAACAACACAACGCACAACAAAGGCAAAGATTCCCCCTGTAACCTTAACAGACTGTTGGGGCAAGTGCTGTTAGCGAGCACCTATGAAAGCCGGAAAGGCACACGAAGGGGTGGGTGGCCACCACCACGCCTGACCGCCTTTGTCTCCCCAGTGGTGATGTTTACATGCCGCACTAGGCACCCATTTGAGGCTGACTCAACATAGGGGGGGCCCATAACTAGTTCAGATATTTCACCACTGGTGTTGGCTGTGAGTGGGAATCGAACTCGAGTCGTTGGGTTCGTAGCGCAGTACGCTAACCACTACACTACTGCTCCACCAACGCACAACAAACAATGCACAACACATGCGGGATATCACAAAACAAGATACACAGCACATAACACAGCACGCACCACACAACACACATCACACCGCACATCACACAATGCACACAGAATACAACACACAACTCATCACAACACGCACGGCACATAGCACCGTCACACCACATGCATTACAACACGCACAGCACATCACCGAATGCACACGTCGACTCGCACAGAGCACATCACACAACACACACACCATACAACACACAACTCATCACAACACACACAGCACATAGCACCGTCACACAACACATGCATCACATCACACACCACACGCACAGCACATCCCTGAATGCACACGTCGCTTCGCACAGAGCACATCACACAACACACAAATCGCGCAGTGCACAACGTTGCAGGAGATATCCGATGAAATCTTTCATTTACGAGCTGTGGTCCATGGTGCCTGAGCAGTGTTCCCCAGTCCAGTATTAGGTTTTTGACGGTGACTGCAGCGCTTCCTCATTTATTTACTTTCCCCCTTGCAGCCCTTAGGATGTCACTCACGTCGCAGTGGCCACGCGCGCTTAAACCGCGTGCCCACGGGCCCCTTCCCCTCCCGCACTTTGTTTTTCCGTCCACCCAGAGGGCAAGCCAAATCGGAACCCGCACCGCTCGGTCGCACGCGCTACCTTACCCCCCCCCTCCTGTTGTCCTTGTCCCCTGCCTGCGGCGTCGGTCTAGTGTCTGTGCACGTTTCTGAGTTTTAAGGCCTCGTCGGGATTGTTCTCCCGAGTCAGGAGCTGCTCATGACTTCAAAACAACACTCGCGCGCGACTCAAGGGAGCCCACCGGGCATCGCGCTGCCCTCGGTTAGGGGAGGGGTTTAAAATGTCTCCATAATCCACACGGGGGGAGAGGTTTTTCAACAGCAGGCGAGTGTCGTGGTTGGTTGAGCGTGTGATTTGGTGGTGGTTTTGGTGAATGTGTGGTGTGTTTGTGCCTGGTGTGCAGTTGGTTATATGTTTGGTGTGTGGTTAGTGTTTGGTTGATTGTATGGTTGGTATGTGTTTGGTTGTACGTTTCACCAGTGCTTGATTGTGTGCGTTGTTGTGTGGTTGATTTTTGATTGGTGTGTACTTGGTTGCAATGGACATTTTGTGGTAGAGCAGTTTGTGGTTGATCATGTTGATTGCGTGGTTGGTTGTGTTGTTGGCTGTCTTTTTTGTCATTGTATGGTTGTGATTGTGTGGTTGGTGATGGTGTTTTTGTGATTGGCCGTTTGGTTGTGCAGTTGTGTCGCCTGGTTGTACCATGTGCCATGTTGTCGCGTGGTTGTACCATGTTGTCGCGTGGTTGTACCATGTTGTTACGTGGTTGTGTTGCCTGGTTGTTCCGTGTGGTTGCTTGGTTGTTCCGTGTGGTTGCCTGGTTGTGCCGCTTGTTTGTCCCATATGGTTGCGTGATTGTGCCGCATGGTTGTACCATGCGGTTGCGTGGCTAAGCCATGTGGTTGTGCCTTGTCGTTGCGTGGTTGCTCCGTGCTGTGGGGACTCAGAGGGCACTGCCCGGTGGTAATGAGGCTGTGCCGCCAGATGGCGGAGATTGTGCAGAACCCAGAGCCCATTAGGCAGCTTATGCAGTCGCTCGGCAGTGGGTGGGGGCAGGTGAGGGGTGGGGGAGGAGGAGTGGGAGGAGGGCAATAGCTGGCGGCTAGACGAGAGGGAGGGTGGGTGAGTGAAAGTCCATGGCAGCGGATTGGGGCGTAGGGGGGGTTTGAGAGTGTCGGCAGGGAGGCAAGGGCAGGGGGGGTCGTGGGAAGCCTAGTGGTGGGTGTGGGGGTGGGGGATGGACCGAGCTGGGCTGGAGCATCTGGGCTCTTGGCAGCCGATCCACTGGAGGCCCAGGAGGGTTGTGGCGTAAGGGGCTCAGGCCCCCGACCCTGTCACTGTCGACGTGAAAACTCAATTCCGAAGCAGCCACCCGTCGCGCTCTCGGATTTGGATTGTATAGCTATACACACGTACTTGTCAATACGCGCCCACACGCAAGCACACACCACACACGTGTCATTACACACATGCGTGAGCCCTGGCCTAGAGTTAAATGCTCCCACGTGTGACGACTGAGAGCACAGTCTCCGCGTGGAGGGAGAGCGACTTCCTGTGTTTTTGGTCGGCACAACACAAGGATTGCACAACGCACCACTTCACAGCCACTCGTTCAAAGCGGCCATTCAAACCTTGCTCGCAGCTTTCCAAAACGGCGCAGGTTGACCCCCCACAGGGCCTCCGGCGGAGCAGTCGGGTCTCCCCGAATTCCCGGGTCTCTGAGACCCCCGGGAGCACCTGCGGCGCGAGGCCGTTGAAGCGCCGCTTATTGATCGCCCTCCCGCGCGTTGTTTCTGCTGCTCTAATTGAGTAATGGCGGCAATCCAGTGGGTCCCGGTGCACGCGCGAGCGCTAACAAGATGTTGGAAATTAATCTCGGCGCACGTGGGGGGGGAGGCGGGGAGCAGTTTTTTTTACCAAACGGACGCATGTGCAAACACCCGGCCTCCCGCTGCATCTTTTTTTAACTCGTCCACCGCCACGTTGGCGGTGCTGCTGTTGTGCTGGAGATTTTGTTTTTTTTTCTCACCGTTGAGATTGTAATCGCTATTTGGTCATGGCTGCTGAGTGTGTTCTTTGGTTCAGGCGGTGGAAACTCGGGATGGAGGCTCAGCTCCCCCCACCCACTCTCCCCCCAACCGCTGCCTTGGAGACATCATTGGTGTTTGTCTCAATGCAAGGCACCAATGGGTGTTGTATGTGTGTATATATAGGGTGTGTGATGTGTGGTGAGGTTACGTTAGGTGTGTGTAACGGGTGTGTGGGTGTATGAGTGCGTTTCGGGGACTTGAGTTGTCAGTGGGGTGCGTCATTTTTTATTCGAGATTTGCACATCAGATGCAGTGCACTCAGTGTGTGAGTTGTGAAGTGTATATGCGGTGTGTGTGTGGGATTCGTGACGTGCGTAGGGCGTTTGTGGTCTGTGTGGAGTTGTAAAGCTTTGTCGGTCTTTTGTGAGATGTCGACGAGGTAAGTCATGATCCATTGGTATGAGAAGGGGTGGATGGTTCATGCAGGGTGGAGGAGGAGTGAAGGCTGTTGCAGGCCGTGCCTTGCGGGTAGCAGAGCAAGGGTAGCCATGACCCCGGGGTGACCCCTGTCTGCTCGCTGGTTATAATCGCGTGGTGGGGGAATGGTCTCTAGAGCGGGGTGTGTGGTGCCGCGTGCCAGCGCGCGCCCCATCTCACCATCGGTCGTCCCACCTCGCCCGCCCGTCCTCTGGCCTCGCCCCCGGAAATCTGGTCCTTCACGAGCACCCCCGTGCGTGTCGGCGTTCGTGCACGTAGCTCACAGTTTACACAACGTGGACACATGCAGCCGCTCATTCGGTGGCATGTTGGCGCCCTTTGACAGTTTGGCCTGTGGGAGGATTCCCATCTAATTTCCCACACGCACCTCCCCTTGGGGTATACCCATGCAGCACGCATGCTCGGAGTGCGGGGATTGTGTTGAGTCGGTCTTAATCGCTGCTTGCTAATCACATTTTCCTCAGAAGTCCTGAAGGCTTTACGGAAGGGTTCTGTTCTGTTCCATGTCTAAAAAAAATGTATGCTTTGTAAATTTTTTACCGTATATTAAAATAATAACAAAGGCCCTTTGCCAATCCATTGAGAGATGAAGGCCTAAATTTCGATTTAAGGCTTTCGTGACTGTAGGGATTCATCTTCTTGGTTCTTTCGGTAAAGTCACGTAGAAGGAAAATAATAAAAATAAAACATTATTAAATAATTATCACGACGTTTCGGCCACAACGCAAGCAGCCGTCTTCAGGTGGAGAACAGGTCAAGAAGATGAAGGCCTCCCCACGCCTTATTGACCATACTTCACCACGCTAGTCAATGCTGTTTGGTTAAAACAAGACCGGTTCAGACATCCCTCGCCGCTGTTCGGAAGCCATGATCGGGAAATCGAACTAGGCGCACCAAATGTTGATAGTTGATTGTGAAGTGGACCAACGGTGGGGTGAATTTAGTCCGTGACGCCAAGAGCACGGCCACTTTGAGTTTCGCACCTGCCACCCACACCTGCAACATGTTGAGACGTGGCTAAGAGATGCCCACAACATTTTTGGGGCCATGGTCAAGTTAAACATGGGTCAAATCGGGTTTGTCAGTACTGCGTACATCGTGGCAACTCTGATGATGGCATTAGCAAGTCCCGGCTTTCTGTATCTGATCTATAACCAACAGCCGCTGGGAACCGTACGCAAGTGGAACACCCCCCCCCCAACTCCCCGCAGCGTGGCTGTTTGCCCCTGAACCACAGCAGTAGTGAGATGGACACCACTTTTAAAAATCGCAGCTGCTGCGTGAACGCAGACAGGGGGAACTGGCGGCACAGCGGGGTTGGCAGTCGTCCAGTGCCGTGGGTGTTCACGCGTCGCACGTCCCGTTCTGTTGGGTTCATTAGTCTCCGCTCGCTCTTAACCCCACCGCCGCCTCCTCCACCGCGCGGGACCCTAGCCCGCGGGGCCCGCGAGCCTCTTCACCCCGCCCCGCTTCCCCTCCCCCAGACCCCCCCACAACGACCCCCACTCCCTTCACCCGCAGGGACGATTCCGGACGTGGTTTTTATCGGGGCGGAGCGCGTGTGGTTAATCACCCGCGCCGCCGCCGCCACCGCCGCCACACGCCCCGCCGGGCCACTGGGGTCTCGTTGACGCTCGATGAAGGAGGCGGAGGAGTGCACCACACCCAAGGGGCCAGTGTGTGTCTTGTTTCGCGTGTCAGTGTTTGTGTGTATTGGTGTGCTTTTCTGTGATGTATTTGGTGGTTTGTGTGGCGTGCGTGTGGCTGTTGTGCGTGTGGTTTTTGCTGCTGCTGTGTTTGACTGGTTCTGTATAACGTGTTGCTGTTGTGGTCTTTTTCTGTACGTTGCGTCATTGTGTTGTTGCTGTGCTGTTTGTGGGATGTGTGTGCTGCTGTGGTGGTGTGTACATTGTTATGGTAGTGTGCGTTGTCATGGTATGTTTTGTTAGGGTGGAGTGGCTTAGTTCTGTGTTGTACTATTGTGATGTGTGTGTGTGACTGGTTTTGTGTGGCATAGTGCTGGGGCGTGGTGCTGTGTATGTGTTACTGTGTGTAACACATACAGAGCGGTAGAGTAGCGGTTGGCGCACTGCGCTATGAACCTAGCGACCCGTGTGAGTTCGATTCCCACTTACGGCCAACACCAGCGACGATTATCGGAACCAGTCCTGGGCCTCGCCTAGGTCGACTCTGCCTCAAACGAGTACCTGGTGCGGTGTGTAAAGACATCGCCACAGGGGAGATAAAGGCGGTCGTGCGTGGTGCTGGCCACCCACCCCCTCGTGTTCCTTGCCGGTCTTCATAGGTGCTCGCTAACAGCACTTGCCACCAACATTCTAGGGCTATATGGGGGATCTTTGTCTTCGTGCCATGGTTGCATATGCCGTGGTGGTGATGTATAACTGCGTGCATGGTGTTGTATGTGTTATGTCAAGGTATGTATGGGTGTTAATGCATGTGTTGTGTGTGTAACTGCGTGTGTGCCTGTGGGAGACGGTAGTATATGGGTTAGCGCAATGCGCTACAAGCCCAGTGACCCAGATTCGAATCCCGCTCACGGCCAACACCAGTAACGATTATCGTATTTTCCCGCATATAACCCGCAGACGCATATACCCCGCAAAAATAGCGTTTTGCGTAAAACAAATTTCAGATAGCCCGCACCTCCATATACCCCGCATGCATTCATATCTTTAACGTCGTTACCACAGCTTAATTCATCATATTAATACAAAGTTTACATTTATAATACATTCCACTATCAATTGTTAACTTTAAAATCATAACGTGCACAAAGAAATCAAACTAACTGTAAACGAGTGAACTTAAAACAGTAAATAAGTAACAAAAATAAATATCCGATAAATAAGTAACACACAACTGGTATATAAGTAAGTAAGCGTACGGTTAGGCTTACCAGCATTCGACCTCATCATATTACAGCTACTGGACCGGTAGTTACCCCTGTACAGTTTTAGCACTAGTAGATTGCGCGCTGCGCAGATAATAGCGGCACTACGGTAACGCCATTGCCTCCTGGCAACAAAGCCATTGGAAGTGTGAAACAAAGCTCATAGTCACGGCCTAAGGGACTCGGCAATTATGATTCCGCATCTGGTAAATGCTTGTTAAGGCCCTTCCCATTGTACAATCCATAGCCTCAGCTGAAACTTTCGCACCCCCCTATAGCCACTGAAAGTATTACGGTAAACAAATTGCGCCCCTTCAAACATTGTCGTTTCATTGTACAAACAATTCGAATCATTTAAAACGTGATAACATGTGCAATTTTTATGTGAGTGGTTTATTCAGCAGTGCTTTAGTCAAAGGTAAGTGTTGCATGGGGGATAGTCCTCCCATGAAAACATTAAACTAGTTATGACATGTCACACGTGTAAAATATTTTTGGGATAGCCCGCACCTCCATATGCCCCGCAGGGTCTTGTTTTGTTTGTAAAAAGTGGTCTACCCCGCGGATTATATGCGGGAAAATACGGTAACTGAACCGGACCTGGGCCACCCCTAGGTCGACTGCTTTAAAAGGAGTACCTAGTGTAGAGTGTAAACATTTACATTAGGGCGTGTTGCTGGCCACCCACCCCCTCGTGTGCTGTGCTTGTGTAATTGCTTGCATGGTGGTGTGTGTAATTGTGCATGGTGGTGTGTGTAGTTGTGCATGGTGGTGTGTGTAGTTGTGCATGGTGGTGTGTGTAGTTGTGCATGGTGGTGTGTGTAGTTGTGCATGGTGGTGTGTGTAGTTGTGCATGGTGGTGTGTGTAGTTGTGCATGGTGGTGTGTGTAGTTGTGCATGGTGGTGTGTGTAATTGTGCATGGTGGTGTGTGTAATTGTGCATGGTGGTGTGTGTAGTTGTGCATGGTGGTGTGTGTAGTTGTGCATGGTGGTGTGTGTAATTGTGCATGCGTGTGTGGCAGTTATTATATGGAGGTGTGTTCAACACATAGGCTTTCGTGACCAATATTATTCATAATCAAGTTGTTTTTGGGTTAAATCGCGTAAGTATAAATGTGTCGTAACCCTCCACCATCCGACACAGTCAGTAAGGTTTCTCATGTAAACAACGCACCAATTAGTTACAACTTCAATCCACACTACCGTACTTCAATCCGCAACATTTAGAATTTGAGTGACTTTTCGCATCATCGGGCAAATCGCCCGATGATGCTGGATGTAATTACCAGCATCGGTGGGCTGAAGTAGTAACTTATTGGCACGTGGTTTACGTTACAAACCTTACTGGCTCTGTCGGGTGGTGGAGGGTTACAACACATATATATACTTGTGCAATCGAACCCAAAAACCTTTATTGTGGAGGTGTGTGTTACTACGTAGGTGGTGTGTGTGTAACTGTGTGGTGTGTGTGTGTGTGTGTAACTGTGTGCGTATGTAACTGCGTGCATGGTGTGTGTGTGTGGAACTGCTTGGTGTGTGTGGAACTGCGTGCATGGTGTGTGTGTGTGTAACTGCGTGCGTGGTAGTGCGTTTGTGTAACTGCGTGAGCGGGGGTGCCGCTTGGAGCAGCACTGCGTGGAGCAGTCTCGTGGGGAAGCGCTGTGTCTGCTCGCTGTGCCAAGCGGTTAATGGTGCTCGTGTGCTGTGCTAGTGGAGCGTGGGCGAGCGTTTAGAAGGGGAGGGGTGGGGGGGTGCGGGTGTCGACGCAGCCTCGGGTGCCACAGTCATTAATTCCGCGCGCCGCACGCCGCCCTCCCAACCTCTGTCACGGATACTCACGCAGTAGACGGGGCGCGCAGTCTCGCCCGCGCTCTCCCTCTTATTAAAACAAAACCGTGAGAGGGAGAGAAGCCGCGGCGCAAAAAGAACACCCCCAGAATTCACGCCTTCACCGCGCAAATTTATTACAAGCTGCTTACGCTGTCGCGCGGCACGAATGCCGAGGCGTAAAGTGTTTTGTCTATGGACCGCTGCGAAAAAACCTAATACATTTCTTTACATGAAACGGAACCGCGGTTTCGGAAGACGGGGCACCGGTTGAGAACCAGCAGGAAGGACCGAGGGCTTCCTCCCCCACCGCCTGGTGACGAGCAGCCACCGAGCGTCACCGACACCTGTCCTCGCCGTCCACCGTCGTTTGCCAGATCGAGTTTCCCAGGGCGGAGATCCCCGAGGCAGCCGAAGGATTCCGCGGTGGGTGGGTTTTGTGGCGGCGTCCGGAGATGTCGTTACTCAAGCCGACCTTTTCCCCCTCCGTGCAGGAATCGCGGTGAGCATCGTGCCGGGAGCGTGCGTGGAGGAGACTGCCGACTCGACACTGTCGCACGTCCTCAACCTGTACCGGCGCACTGCCTGGCTGCACCAGAACCTGCGCGAAGGCACACGCGTCGCGTCCGTCGAGCAGGTGCGCGAGATGGCATCTGGCGCCGCGCGCATCCGCGGGGAGACGCTTGGCATCATCGGCTTTGGTGAGTTTACACCACGTTACTCGCCGAGCCAATGCTCACCGCTACTCGTCAAGATCGGTGCTCACCGATACCAAGACCGGCGGTCACTGATACACCAAGACCGGAGTTCACCGATACACACCGAGACCGTTGCTCACCTATGCACAGTGATTGACACTGGTGGCCACTTGTCCTGACTGATACAACATAACTGCTTCGCGCTGATAGCCACTGGTGACACTCATATACACTGAAATCACAGATACTGCTTCACCCTACCACTGATAACGTTAGAGCTGATACCAGTAACGCTGATAATCACTAATGCTGATAACGATACTAAGTGAAACACGAATACGTTCTGCTTCGCTCATGCACACTGACGCGCACTCCTCCCGCTTAACACGCGTGCACACCATGCGTCGTTACATGCTTGCTACGTGTCAGTCTACACACTGGACACCCTTGCAATTCAAATGTTTTTTTCTCGGTGAAATATTTCAATATGAATAGAATAATCCACCACACTCTTACCACTCACGTCGACCCTTCCACACTCACCCACACACACTCGCCTAAACCATCTCACTAACTCCACTTACTCACCGCTCAGCTGTTCTCCACGCTGTCACCACTCACCTATTCTCCACTCTCTCACTCACCCATTTTCTACTCTCTCACCACTCACCTGTTCCCCACTCTCATTCACCTACTCACCTGTTCTCCACTCACTCACCACTCACCTGTTCTCCACTCACTCACCACTCACCTGTTCCCCACCCACTCACCACTCACCTGTTCCCCACTCACCACTCACTCGCCACTCACCTGTTTTCCTCTCACTCACCACTCACCTGTTCTCTCACTTACCACTCACCTGTTCCCCACTCACTCACCACTCACCTATTCTCCACTATCTCACTCACCACTCACCTGTTCTCCACTCACCACTCACCTGTTCTCCTCTCACTCACTCACCACTCACTCACCACTCACCTAATCTCCACTCTAACTCACCACTCACCTATTATCCACTCACTCACTCACCACTTGACCAATTCTCCACTCGCTACTTCTCCTCTCATTCGTGTCTCGACTCCGTCTCCACTGCCGGCATCACTGGGGTTAAAGGAAACGCGCGGGGGAGAGATTCCGTGGAATTAATGCGGCGTCTGCGATATCGACCGCGCGCTCTGCCGGGGAGCCCCAGCCCGCACCGAGGCAATCGTAGCACTCGTCACCGCGACACGCGGCTTGTCAGCAGCCGCTGATTCCACTGGAGGGCGAAATCAACCACTGGACGAGGGCTGTGCCGACGCTGGAGGGACGTGCGTTGGTGTTAACTCACCGGCCGCACACCGCGCGAGTGCCGGGGTTTGCTGCGGGTGTGTCGCTGCGTGGCGTGCGCGGCGGCGGTTGTGCTGCGAGCTGTGTGTTGCGCAGTATGGTAGTGCTGGTTTGCTAGTGATGCGGTGACCGGTGTGTGATACCGGTTGTGCCGCGAGTGAACGTGTGGTGAGAGATTGAGCTGCGTCTGCTGTGTAGTGCCGCTTCTTTGCGATGGGTACTGCAGTGTCTGTTGATCTGTGCTAAACGTGGCGAGCGGTGTTGAATACCGGGGTGGGTGGCGTGGCGGTGGCGTTGCAGGTGACGTGTGCTGTGCTGTGCGACACCTTTTTGAGCCGCCTGTCCTCTGCACACTCAGGCCGCGTGGGGCAGGCTGTGGCGCTGCGCGCGCGCGCCTTTGGCTTCAGCGTGATGTTCTACGACCCGTACCTCGCCGACGGGGTCGAACGCTCCCTGGGCATCCAGAGGGTGGCCACCCTACAGGACCTCTTGTACAACAGCGACTGCGTGAGCCTCCACTGCAGCCTCAACGAGCACAACCACCACCTCATCAACGACTTCACCATCAAGCAGGTAAGCTGCCGCAGCGCAAGGTCACGGTCCCGTCGCCGCCAAATCACTGGCGCTCCCCACCGTCGCTGCTGCCACCTATCACCTCCGTTACCACCCATCACGATTGTCACCTTCACCAACGCTGCCATAACCAATACCACCGCCAACGCCATCGTCGCAAATCATCGTCGTCACCGTCACCACTGAACACCATTGACCGCCAACACTATCATGACCACTCTCGCCAACTTAATTATTCCCAACATTTCCAACACCCGCCACCAGTAGCATCGCTGTTTCTAATCTCGCCTCGTCATAACCCCCTCAGCGAGCTCCACGGGTTTGTGTTTCCATCTCGGTGTTAATGGCGACGGTGGCGACGGTGCAGATGCGGCAGGGCGCGTTCCTGGTGAACACAGCGCGCGGGGGGCTGGTGGACGAGAAGGCGTTGGCGCTCGCGCTCAAGGAGGGCCGCATCCGGGGAGCGGCACTCGACGTGCACGAGATGGAGCCCTACAGGTGGGCGTCACGCAGCCCGCGACCCCATCTGTCACTCCACCTGTCGCACCGTCTGCCACCCTTTTGAATCCCCCCCCCCCTTCTTCGCCCTCTCCACGCACCGACCCATCACCGCTTCTGTCGCGCTGCCATCGTCAATAGATGCCGATCGTTGCCTGCGTGTCACCCCGTGTCCCCTGCGCAGCGTGAACCAGGGTCCCCTGAAGGATGCCCCCAATCTGCTGTGCACGCCCCACACGGCCTGGTACAGCGAGCAGGCCTCCCTGGAGATGCGTGAGGAAGCTGCAAAGGAGGTCCGCCGGGCCATCACCGGTATGCAGCCACCACCCAATCCTCCTGCGCTCTGAAAATCCTAAACCACCCTGAACCCTGATGCACTTACACGTACCTCAATCCATCCCGATCCCAACCCGCACCCTCGTAAACCCCACCCCCACGCGTGAACCCACCTGCTCCTGTGTGCGCCCCAAATCCACGGCGCATACGTTCCGTGCGCCGGCGTGGGGGAGACTCTGCGTCCACGTGCGCGAACGCTACGGGGGGTGGGGGAGAATCCTGCCAGAGACGCGCATCCCCTGCCCTCCTACCCCCCCTCCCCTTCCCTGGCGCTCCACTCCCCCGCCCCTCGGACGCTCGTTGTCCTCGGCGCCGCGACGGGGGTCCTCGGAGAGGGGACGAGAGCTCGCGTCACGATTCCTGTGGAGCTTCCACAGAGCAATTACAGGGCGTGTAATTTGTATTCCGGCTCCCGAGTCCCCCGCGCCGCCACCGCGCACGCCTCCCTCTGCCTCGGGGACACTTCTCGCTCCACCTGCCGCCACCGCCGCTGCTGCTGCAGTAAATGAGGGTTGAGCGGCAGGGCGACGGCGCGATGGTAACGCTCTGTGCCTCGCAGCAAGAAGCGCTCTCGGTTCCTTTCCCGGGTTTTTTCGGGTTTCCTTCATAGCTAAAAATGTACACACGATGTAATTGGGTCGTGGCCAAACATGCTGTAAAATATGGCCTGAGAATTACTCAATTGGGAATAAAAATCAACAACATTGCCCTCCACTGAAAATTCAGTGAGACGCTCCAAAATAGCCTTGAGATTCAGTGAGGCTTTCTTGGGTAAACAAGCATCGGTGATAACAAAGCCAACAGTTGGTGCCCGGAGCTGCACATCAGCTCCTGCGTGCGTGTGTGTGTCTGGAGAGCAGTGGCTTAGTGGTTCACGCGCTACGCTACGAACCTGGCAACCTGAGTTCTATTCCCGCTCACAGCCAACACTAGTGACAATTATCTGAACTGGTCCTGGGCCTCCCCTAGGTCGACTCGGCCTCAAATGAGTACCTGGTGCAGTGTGTAAATATTGCCACTTAGGAGACAAAGGCGGTTGAGCGTGGTGCTGGCCGCCCACCCCCTCGTGTGCTGTGCCGGCCTTTTTCGGTGCTCGCTAACAGCACTTGCCCCAACAGTCTGTTAAGGCTACGGGGATGTTTGTCTGCATAGCAATAGCATAGTGGTTAGCACGCTGGACTCCGAACCTGGTGGCCCACGTTCGATTGCCACTCATGCCTAATGTCGGCGATGAATATCTGAACTGGTCCTAGGTCTCCCCTAAGTTGCCTTAGCCTAAAATGAATAACCGTTGCGGTGTGTTCAATGTCAGCACCGGGGAGACCCAAGGTCGTGGTGCTTCTTGTATGCTGGCCCAGCCTTCATAGGCGCTCGCTAACAGCGCTCGCCCCACCACCGTGTGTAGGCTATTCGGGGAATATGTTTGTCTTTGTAAGCATAGACTTTATAATTTGGTCTTTTGGTGAAGAGGTTGCCAGCCACTGATAGTTTTTAGTTTAGTTCAGCGATTTTATTTAACATTATAAATGCTACACTAACAACATTGAGAAAAATGCCAGTCCCTTAATTCACAGTAAATTGGCACTGTGGGGAGCACAGGCGGTGCTTCTGTCAGTTCTGTCAGTCAATCCATAACACTTGGGTCTGTCCCCTGACCTCCTTCCTGCCAGCACTGAGCCTCCAAAACTTGACGTGATAGCCTCCAAATGCACCTAGCCTGGCACAAGTGCAGTGGTGTCATCACTGTCTATTAGTAGTGAATGGTCAGTGTGGGCTCGTGAAGGCGGGAAGTGGAGATGTAACAACAATGGATTTGCTGCACCGCCCTCTGCTCACAACGTAGCCCCCAACAGTCTACGACAGCTGTTACATCTATGGTGGGCGCCCATCCAATGACTACCTCGGCTGAACTCAGTTTGGCGCCTGAGATTGTATGAAATCAGGCATTTTTCCGGATGATTAAATGGCCACAGTTGTGTGTAATTGTGTGGGGAACCTTGGCGCAGTGGTTAGCGCACTGCACTAAAAACACGGCGCCATCCGGGTTCGATTCCCACTCACGGCCAATAACAATAGCGAATGTCTGGACTGGTCCTGGGCCTCCCCTAGGTCGACTCAGCCTTAAATGAGTACTTGGAGCGGTGTGTAAACTTTAGTTTCTGGGAGACAAGGTGGCTGGGGGTGTTGCTGGCCACACAACCCCCTCTTCGTGTGCCGTGCCGGCTTTCATAGGTGCTCGCTAACAGCACTTTCCTTTGATGGCCTGTGAAAGACTATACGGGGGAGAGGATCTTTTGTAATTGCATGCGTGTGTGTACTCAGGACGCATCCCTGATGCCCTCAAGAACTGTGTGAACAAGGAGTTTTTCCCGACGGCGGCGTCGCACTGGGCCCCCATGGACCCCGGCGCTGTGCACCCCGAACTCAACGGGGCCGCGTACAGGTGCGCCGAGACCGCGGGGACCACGGGGTACACGCACGGGGACCACCGGGATCACGGGGACGGTCTCAAGCGAGGACTGCGAAGCGGCACTGCGAGCATTGTTGATGATAACCCTCTCGTGGGTTAAACTCATGCGAAGGTCATGGGGGAGTTGGGGGCCTCCCAGTCTCTGCCAGCTTCGTGGCACGCAGCTGCAAAGACGCAGGCACCTATGCTACGGCGGCCATGGCTTTTAAGGACGTCGAGCGTTCGAGCCCCCGTTGCCGCCTTGCGCGCCTCGCTTTGCTGCCCCGCGTTTTTATTTGACTCCTATTCGAGGGCATTGCTGCACGGTAGCTGCTCGCTCCACAGAAATGTGCTGCTCTGACCCGTCTCCCCATCTGTGTGCGCGCGTGTCTCTGTATTTCCCCCCCCCATCTCGCGCAGGTTTCCGGGCAGCATGGTGGGCATGCCCGGCGGTGTGGATGGAATGATGCCCATCACGCACGGGCTGGCGCCCGTGGTGGCGCACCCTCCGCACACCCCCTCGCCCGGCCTTGGGAAGACTGAGGCGGAGAGAGACGGGATGGGGGGCGGCGGCGGACCCCACAACCCCATGGGCCGCGACGGCGCAGACGACGGCCGGGGGAAATAGCCCCCCCGCCCTCCACTCCCCTAGTCGGCCGGGGGTCCCCTCCCTCTGCTGCCCAACAAGGTGGTGCCGCGGGTGGGAGGAAGGGGGTGTAGGGCTGGCCGGGGGGGGGCAGTGGGTGCATGCGTGTGGGTGAGGGGGGGGGCCGTGAGCAGAGCCGGACGCGTCCCGGCGTGCGCGCGCGCGTCCGTGTGTGTGTGTGCGCGCGTGTGTGTGTGTGTGTGCGCGTGCGTATCCGTGCCCGTCGAGAGAGCGCGCAGTAATGCACGTCACGTCCCGTGCGTCCGTTTTAACCCTTCCGCTGGCCACGCAGAGCCGGCATGGCGTGATGAATGTCCACGTTTGGCTAAACGTAGATGGAACCGCGTCCTGTCCTCGTTTCATCACAGAACAATCGAGGAGACGGCGGAGGCGGCGGCGCGCTCTCTCCGAATCCCCGCGTGTGCCGGAGTAGAGAGGCCGTGTTGTTTACTGCCGCTTGTTGAGGCGCGAGGCCCTCGGCTCTGGGTTTCCCCGGCAACAGAACAGCGCTGATGTGTAAACCAGTCAAACAACACGAGGACGTTTATAAAAAAAACACTTTATACATTTCTCGTGTTTGAATGTGCTTCTTTTTGACAGACGTTATCGTGATTGCCCGGCGAGGGTTCGGAACCAGTTACAAATTATATACCATGGGTGATAAGTGGACATCGTGATGTCAAACGATCCATAATCAGGCCCGACCTCTCCCGCGACCCCGTGGGACGCGGGAGGCTCCTGAACTTGCGCCGGGAGCAGTGGGCGGCGCTAACGATGGTAATTTTCCAAAATTGGCCTCGTGGCGTGAACTCTTAAACAACATAAGCTCTGCCGCCTTTGGCTGCTGCTGGTGCCGGTGATGCCCATTGTGTCGAGGGTGGTAGGCAGGTGGGTTTTGGGGTAAGTCTGGCCAGGGTGCCCTTCCGGGTCATATGCCCCCTGGAGGGGCATGATGCCATGCCTCTGGGCGCAAATAGAATTCCCCTCCTGCGGTAGAGATGGAAAGAGCGATGAGCGCACAACTGCGGTGAACGTGGGAGGGTGGATTAAGACGGGGGGGGGGGGGGGGGGTCACATTTTGCTCGGTGAAGCCAAGTCCGTGGTGACAAAAAAAAGGTGGTCGAGGCTGAATCCCATTTTAAACGCGGAGCGACAAGGGTGCACAACTTCGAACGGTGGCCGTGAGTGGAGTGGGGGGGAGGCATCCACACTTTGCAAGGGCAGAGAGTTGCGGGCGCCACCCGAGGGCACCGAGAGAGAGGCCACAGCTGCGAGTGCTCGGACGTCCTCTCAGTTTGGGCAGCGTTCAAATGCCCATTTAGTCATGCCATGACCCAGAGCCCTGACCTTGACCCTGATCGGCCACCAGGTTCCGCGTCGGATGGGATCGGCGAGTGGGAAGAGTGAGCACGCGGGGCAGAAAATGCGGATTTATTCCTGATATTTATTAGACGCAATGGGTTAAAGCGTACAATGTTAAACGTTGATTATGTAACGCATTAGCATAGCTGTTTGTATTTTTTTTATTCGTTTTCTTCCACAAGCGGGCTACGGTGTCTACGGGGTTCTCCGTGTCGAAACAAAGGGGTGAGGAGTTTAGGACCCCCCGACCTTTTCCCCCCTACAACCCCTGGGCTGGATTTTCTCCCGGTGTGGGGAAAGTTTCAAAGCTCGTCCTTCCAGGGAATGCTAATCACTGCACAGGCACGGACGGTCAGCGCACCGAACCCCCATGTGCATGCGGGACTCCCGGAGATCATTCCTTTGCAGCAGTGGGGGTCACCGGAGGTCACCTTGTCTTGGCACAAATCAAACTGGTGTGGGGAGGGCCCCCTCCAACCCCAGTGTACTTGGGGTGGGATGACCCCACCCACCTTTCATTCCTTGGTTAAGTCTGAGCCGGTGTCACGGACCGTGCATAACAAGATCTTCTCTGTTCCCTTTCCCCCACACCCTCCTCAGGGTGATAGGGGAAGGGGATTGTACGCCCTCTAGCTTCTAAGAGTGGGGGGGGCTCCTCGGGGGGGGGGGGGTTAGAGGGGTCCTAGACTCCACTTAACGCTCGTGGGGCCGGAAAGCCCAGCAGCTCCTCGCGCCGCCTGCGTAGCTGTCTCATCACCATCACCACCATCATCGCCATCATCATCATCATGATTATTATTGGGCCGTGAGGTTGTGAACTTTGTACTAGTTGTGTTAGTTTTAACAATTAAGGTTATTAGTCATGTGTTTTACGCATTTTGTGGACTTTATAGCTGTAGGGAAGTTCCCTAAATCACTGTGACTTGTATATTACCTTTAAAGGAAATTAAAAAAAAAATTATTAAAAAAGCCCCCCGCATTGTTGCTGGTTTTTATAAGTGAGGCTTGCGCTGTGGCGTCGCCCGTCCTTGGCTGTACCGCCCAATCCCGGCTGGGTCACCTGTCCAGGGGCGCCGTCGACCTTAGGTGAACCGCGCAATGTGGAGTGCGTTGCCTGTCCAGGGTGTCGCCCGCTCCGGCGCCGCCCACACGCACCCACACCACACACCACCACGGACGATCCCAGCATATAATACGACGGTTCCAGAGAAACTCGTGCCACAGCTCCAACCCACCCCGCGACCGACTCCGCAGCCCACTCCATGCTGCCTGGTGGGGATGACGAGCCCGGGAGGAGGACGGAGTGCATCTCTACTCTTTGGTTCTTTCGGTAAAGTCACGTAGTTAGAAATAAAGTAAAACAAATCACGACGTTTCGATTGCAACACAAGCAATCGTCATCGGGTGGGAAAACCACAGCAAGAAAAAATTGCTGAAGTGGGAGAGCTTGTGTTGCAATCGAAACGTGATTTATTTTCTTTCTAACTACATGACTTTACCGAAAGAACCAAAGAGTATGGATTCCTGCAGTCACGAAAGCTTCAAATCAAGATTGGAGTGCATCTCCTCAAGCGGCAAGTCCAGTGAGCGGACACCAATGCAGGAGGACCGTGTGTGGGGCCCTGGTGGGATCCCTTTATGAACGAGAGCAACGTCCCCTGTGTCAGGTCACACGGTGCCGTGGACAGCGATGGTGTCGCGGCGAGGCGCACTGCACTGCTTGACCAGGCGATCCGGATTTTAATTCCCACTCGCGACCGATAACGGTGGCGTGTATTTGAACCGGGCCCACAACTCCTGTAGGTCAATGCAGCCTTAAATGAAAACCCGCCGCAGGGTGTAAACATGAGCCCTGGGGAGACAAAGGCGACCAGGCCGACTGTTAGCCACCCACCCCCTTGTATGTCAAGCACTTCCCCCAGCAGTCTGCTAAAAGGCTATTCGGGGGTCTTAGGTCCCGGAGTGAGTGAGCGAGACCATATGAGTGAGGTCCCTGTGTGCGTGAGATGCCTTTGAGTGCCGAGTGTGAGGTCCACCCTTGCACTGATCCCAATTGGAATGTCCCTTGGTCCCCGTTTCCCTTGGTCCCCATCCCCCATATTCCTCATCCCACTTGGTACCCGTCGCCATAGGTTCCCATCCCCCATGTTCCTCATCCCACTGGGTACCTGTCGCCATAGGTCCCCATCCCCCATGTTCCTCATCCCACTTGGTACCCGTCGCCATAGGTCCCCATCCCCCATGTTCCTCATCCCACTTGGTACCCGTCGCCATAGGTCCCCATCCCCCATGTTCCTCATCCCACTTGGTACCCGTCGCCATAGGTCCCCATCCCCCATGTTCCTCATCCCACTTGGTACCCGTCGCCATAGGTCCCCATCCCCCATGTTCCTCATCCCACTTGGTACCCGTCGCCATAGGTCCCCATCCCCCATGTTCCTCATTCCACTTGGTACCCATCGCCATAGGTCCCCATCCCCCATGTTCCTCATTCCACTTGGTACCCGTCGCCATAGGTTCCCATCCCCCTTGGTCTGTATCCCCTTTGGTCCCCACCCCCCTTGGTCCCCGTCCCCATAGAATTCTGACGCCCATGTTCCCAGAGTTCACGCGGCGCATTCACAAGAGACGCCAATTAATAATTATGGAACTCTTTTTATTAAACACAAATTATCCAACAGTCTCGAAATGCCATGAATATGTACCATAAATATATAAGATGTCGGATTCCAAATCATTTAGCTATGCTTGCTGATAACATGGATACATGAACAGAAGATGTAAATGGATACACGATCTCGGAAAGTACTGCTACGCTTCAACTAATCATTTAAAAGCGCCCCTTGTTCCTTTTAAATTAACAGCTAACATCAGGTCCGGCGTAACGAGAATCAGCTGAGTGACCGTCTGTATCAAGGTGCGTGACGAGGATGCGCAACTCCAAAAGCTTTGCAATGCGAGTGTCAAAAGTTATGAGTGCCGTTTATACACCGGTGGTGTCTCATTACACGCTTATAGCTTATTTTGCACTCTCGTGTCCACGCCGTGTCCACGCAGCCCCCGGGGGACACGCGGGGCACGCCGGTTTACCCCCTTCTGCGCCCTCGGGAGCAACGCGACGTTGAGACCCCCCGCGACGCGACACGGGGAAGGCAGCTGGACGCGGGAGCGAGCGCGGGGGAGGAGGGGACGCGGCTCTACTTAGCACCGCACCGGGAGCGAGAGATAGGAGAGTGGGGGGAGGAGAGTGGGGGGAGGAGAGTGGGGGGAGGAGAGTGGGGGGAGGAGAGTGGGGGGAGGAGAGTGGGGGGAGGAGAGTGGAGGGAGGGAGTGCGCGCTCTACACGCCGTGTGATCGCACCCGAGGCTCGCGGTCACTGAAACCGCACGCGCGGTCACCCGCATCGACCACGCGCGGTCAGCCCCGAACGTGCAGGCGCGCGCGGTCACCCGCGGCACGACACGCAACGCATGCGCGCTCACCTGCGCCCTGCAGGTGGTGGGGCCACCTGAACTACGCGCGTGCGGCCGCCACTTGACACGGTACGTCGGTGGAGGGGTGGAGAAGGGGTGGGGGGCACGTGAACGCCTTTGGTAGCCGGTGAGGGATTCGCGCAGTGCTGCAGCTGTGTGGGAGGTGCTGCCGGCATTATTGCTATTTTGCAAGTCGGGGATACAAAAGGGGCCTCGAAACCAACATCGACCACAGCTGCCCCGACCTCAACTCCTCACACGCGCGTAAGTGTCCGTGTGTGTCTCTGTGTGTACATCACGTCTCTGTGAACAGCGTGCGTCTGTGGTTCTCTGTATGTCTGCGTGTCTTTGTGCAAGTATCTTTCTGAACGCGCAACTCTGATATAGCCTAAGGTTATCAGGAGTGTGTGTACAGCACGTGTGTCTCTGCGGTCGTGTGCGTCTTTGTGTGGCGTGTCCGCGTGTGTCTGCACACAGCATCTATGTGGTTGTGTGCGGCTGTTTGATGGCCTCACTGCGTGTGTGCCCGTGTATATCTGGGTGGGTACGAGTGCTCGTGTATCTGTGTATCTGTGTGTGTGTATCTTTGTGCGTGCAGCTGTAGTGCGTGTGTAGCTGCGCCTGTGTATTTGTATGTCTGCGTCTGTGTTGGTGGTTCTGTATCCGTAGGTTGCCGCGTGTCCGTGTTCTCGCCGTGTGCGCCCGTGCCAATGCGTCGTGTTGTCTTGCTCATCCCTAGTCCTCGATGTGTCTATGTGCCTGTGTCTCCATGGGACACGTGCGCCTTTCTCTATGCGTCGATCTCCGTGCATCCCCCGAGCGTGTCCCCCCCGAGTACCGCGCGCGGGTCGAGGGTTCAGGCTTCGCCCGCGAGGCGGGGGGGGCGGCGCGTGGAGCCGCGGGCGCTCGTGGGGAGGAGGGGGGTCGCCCCCCTCGCTAATGACTTAATGAGTAATTACAGCTCGAGGAGGAGTCACGCGCCCTGGCAATTACCCCGCGACGAGGGGGGTTACGGCAGCCTCCCCTCCACCAGCACCGGACGGGACTCGAGGAGGCTTCTTGGTGATGACCCTGCGTGGTTCCAGGGTCAAATGTTAAGGTGAAGGAACTTTACCGTGGCCCCGTCAATCCTCGGGTCAGCGGAATAAGGGGCTAAGCCACTGCCTCCCCACGCGCGTCTTAAAGCCAAGCGCGGATACGATACAGGATATAATAATATAAGAATAATGATAAGACGTTACATCGTATACAAGTGTTGGTGACAATCATGTCAAACACTGCAGGATATAAGTAACCGCTAGCGTCGTGTATAAATGTTGGACCAAGGGTTCACGGGCGGGCCGCAGTGGAGTCACTACACGGCCCCCGAGCAGCGTCGCTGAGCTGATATCATCACCGCCATCACCACCACCACCATCAACACCATCACCACCATCAGGGTCCGTGTGGCTGCGTCGTGGCGTGTGTAGCCGTGTAAACTTTATGCAGCGCACGGTGAAGTGGTGTGAGACGGCAGAGGGACGGGGGGGGGGGAGATGCGGGGAGGGGTGAGGGTGACAGGGAGAGTGGTGGGGGGTGTTAGGGTCTAGATGGAAGGGAGACCCCTCTGACCCGCCGCACATCGCGCCTCCTGCGCGCCGACGAGGTGCGGGTGATGGTGCTGCTGCTGCTGGTGGTGCACGGGCGGCGTGGCCCCGTGCACCTCCCCGGCGCGTTCGTGCGCGCGCCGGTGGTCCTGCAGATACCACTTGGTGGTGTAGCGCTTCCCGCAGACGTCGCACGCGAACAGCAGCACGCCCACGTGCTTGAGCACGTGGATGGTGAGCGCCGAGGAGGTCTTGCAGCGCAGGCCGCAGCACGTGCACGTGAGGCTGCTCTTGTCCACGTGGTGCCGCTTGGCGTGCTCGCGCACGCATGCAAACTCGGCCAGCAGCTCCTTGCCGCAGATCTGGCATGCGGCGCGCGCCCCCGACGAGGATGAGGAGGGCGTCGAGGTCGAGGAGGAGGTCGCTCCGCCGCCACCGCCGCCGCCGCCTTCGCGTGGGGGCGGCCCCGCGGGGGGTGGCGGTGCCGACGCCGGCACGGGCGGGCCCCGCGGGCAAGGGCGCGGGCACGGCCCCCGGGGCCGACGCGACGGAGGCTGCTCCGTTCTCCCGCCGCGGCGAGAGGTCAGCGCAAACAGCCGCTCTGGACAGCCGGGTGGGCTGCTGCTGCTGTTGTTGTTGCTGTTGTTGCTGTTGTTGCTGTTGTTGCTGCTGAAGCTGCTGCTGCTGCTGTTGAAGCTGCTGCTGTTGAAGCTGATGTTGCTGCTGTTGCTGCAGTTGCTGCAGTTGCTGCACAGGTTGGTGGTGATGATGGTGCAGGTGATGGTGCAGCGGGGCCGGGTGTCCACCCGCTGCGGCCGCCGCGGCTGCGGCCGCCGCCGCGGCGGCCGCGACCTGCACCTGCACCCCGGCCTGCGGGAGCTGGTGGTGGTGGTGGCAGAGCGCGTGGCCCGGGGCCGCGGCCGCGGCCGCCCTCGCCGCCAGGTGCCCGAAGTAGTCCCCGTACTCGTACTGCGCGTCCAGCCAACTCGACAGCAGATTGTTCTCCTCCTGGCTCCTTTCCAGCTGCTGCTGCTGCTGCTTTATGCTGTGGCCACCGCCGTTGCTGCTGCTTCCGACACCTCCGCCGATGCTGATGCCGATGCTGCTTGCGCTGACGGCCGCGTGGTGCAGCAACTGCTGTTGGTGCAGCTGCTGCTGCTGTTGCTGCTGCTGCTGTTGCTGCTGCTGCTCGTGCGCACGCCTGTGCTCGTCCAGATGCCACTTGGTGGGGTAGCGCTTCCCGCACGTGTCGCACGCGAACAGGTAGATGCCCATGTGGCGCAGCACGTGCACGGTGAGGGACGAGGAGCTCTTGCACTGCGCGCTGCAGCTCATGCACATGAGCGACTGCTTGTCCATGTGGCGCTTGGCGTGGTTGCGCAGCGCCACGAAGTCTGCGGGCAGCGCCTCGCCGCACAGCTGGCACAGGCCGTGAGGGCCGCTCATGCCCGCGGCGGTGGCGGCCGCGACTCCCCCGTTGGTCGCCTGCGAGGAGGAGGCGGCGGAGGAGGAGGAGGCGGAGGAGGGATCTGGCCGCCTCGCCTGCACGACTCCCCCAGGCGTCGAGCCATTACTAATCTGGGGTCGCCTGGCCCCGCCGCTCGCGTTTTCACGCACCATTTCCAGGATTGTGTACGTCTTCTCGCTGCCGCCCTCCCCCTCGCTCACCACCGTGGCGGGGAAGCTGTCCGCCTGGCTATTGATTTTCCAGGGCTGTCTCGGGTGGTCCCACAGGGGGCTGCCCCACGGGAGGCCGGCCACGTGCCGCGCGTTCACGTCCCAGGGCCCCCGCTGGCTGGGCTCCCACACGGCGTGGGTCCCCGCGGCCGCCAGCCCCGGGTGGTGGTGGTGATGGTGGTGGTGGTGGCCGCTCAGGTGGTCCCACGGAGCGGCCCGTTGTTCCCACAGCTGGCTGCCCCACGGGAGCATGTCGGGCAGGAAGGGGGTGAGCTCCGAGTAGTGTGTTTCCATATCACTCACCCGGGCCCCTGCCAAATTCAAGACACCCCGCCGCCGCCGCCTGCAGGGAGGGAGGAGAGCGCGGGGGGGAGAGGGGAGAGCGGGGGCGGCGCGAGCCGGTGAGGGTATTGAGAGAGGAGAGAGTTGAGAGCGGGGAGAGAGAGATGCGGGGGGGGGGGCCGTTACCGATCCGTCTATTGATCAGGCCCCGCGGCCCCGATCTCCGCGCCACAGGTGTGGCCCCGCGCGGGGCCCCCGGCTTAGTAGGGGCGGTGGGCGCCGGTCCCCGCGGCGGCGGCGGCGGCGCGGAGCGCGCGGCGACAGAGACGACAACGACAACGACAACAACAAAGCGGGGGCGAGGAGGAGGAGGAGGCGGCGGCGGCGGCCCGGGGCGCGCACCCCATGTCTGCTGCTAATGGCGAGAGGCCTGGGCCTACTGCCTCCCTCCCGCCCGCCCGGGATGCGCCCCCACCACCACCTCCCTCCCCCCCGGTCCCAGGGAAGAGGAGGAGGAGGCGCGGGGGAACTCGACGGGACGATGAGCCCCGTGCGCGCGCGGGCAGCAGCGGCGACGGCGAGAGGAGGAAGCGGAGAGAGAAAAAATCGCGGCGTCCCGGGTCGCCCGAGGGGGGCTCGGGGCAGGTGGAGGCGCCTCCCCCCCCCCCCCCGGGCTAATTTACACCGCCGCGTGAGCCGCGTCAACCGCGCCGCTCGCCGTGTCAATAGGGGGGTTCGCAGCCAATTAATCATGGCCCCCCACAGCCCCCGCGCGCCCCCCCCCCACCACCACCACCATCTCTCTCCTCTCCCTCCCCATCATCCTCCTCTCTCCTGCTGCTGCTGCTCCCTTCTCTCTCCCCCCCCCACCTCTCTTCTCTTTTTTTTTACAAATTTTATTTTTTTATTTCTTGGCCACGAAACCCGAAGTCGAGCTCCGAGCTCCCGCACCGGACGCGCCGCCGCCGCCGCCCCGGGGAGGCGCGGGAGGAGACGCGGCGAGGAGGAGGAGGAGGGTCGCGGGGTGTCCCGGGGTCCCCGCGCCGCCGCCGAGCCGCGCCGCGGAGATGGAGCCAAACCTCAGGATCTGAGTGCCCGCACCGCAGACATGATCCGCCTCGGGACGAGCTTAATGTGGAGCGCGCATGCGCGCCGCCTGTCAGCCCTAATGAGCGGAGGGGACATCGCTTTGTTTACACACTCGTTTAGCGCTGATGGATGCCGCCCCGCGCCGCCAGCCCGTGCCGCACACTCAGCGCCATTTCACGACGAGGGGCCCCCCGCCGGGCCCTGCCGCGCTCCCCTGTCCCGCGGATTGCTCGGGGGGCCCCCACCCCCATCGCCGCGCCCCCCCCACCCCCATCGCCCGTCCCCGCCCGTACCCCCTCCGGTGCGCCGCGAACCCTCCCCGGAGCTCCCTCCCCTCCCTCCCCTCTCTCTTCCTCCCTCCCATCCACTCACTCAAGCGCACCACCCACACCGCCTCCCCCCCCTCCTCCCTCTGTCTCCTCTCCCTCCCCCACTCCTCCCATCCACTCACTCACGCCCCCCCCCCTCTCCCCTGCCGCTCCCTCCCCGTGCGTCGTGTGCGTTACGTGAGCGCGTCCGTGTGTTGTGGATGTGTGTAGCCCGTGCTGTCTGTGTGTGTGTAGCCCGTGCTGTCTGTGTGTGTGTAGCCCGTGTTGTGTGTGTGTGTGTAGCCCGTGCTGTCTGTGTGTGTGTAGCCCGTGCTGTCTGTGTGTGTGTAGCCCGTGCTGTCTGTGTGTGTGTAGCCCGTGTTGTGTGTGTGTGTAGCCCGTGCTGTCTGTGTGTGTGTAGCCCGTGCTGTCTGTGTGTGTGTAGCCCGTGCTGTCTGTGTGTGTGTAGCCCGTGTTGTGTGTGTGTGTAGCCCGTGCTGTCTGTGTGTGTAGCCCGTGCTGTCTGTGTGTGTGTAGCCCGTGCTGTCTGTGTGTGTGTAGCCCGTGTTGTGTGTGTGTGTAGCCCGTGCTGTCTGTGTGTGTGTAGCCCGTGCTGTCTGTGTGTGTGTAGCCCGTGCTGTCTGTGTGTGTGTAGCCCGTGTTGTGTGTGTGTAGCCCGTGCTGTCTGTGTGGTGTAGCCCGTGTTGTGTGTGTGTAGCCCGTGCTGTGTGTGTGTAGCCCGTGTTGTGTGTGTGTAGCCCGTGTTGTGTGTGTGTAGCCCGTGCTGTGTGTGTGTAGCCCGTGTTGTGTGTGTGTAGCCCGTGTTGTGTGTGTGTAGCCCGTGCTGTGTGTGTGTAGCCCGTGTTGTGTGTGTGTAGCCCGTGCTGTGTGTGTGTAGCCCGTGTTGTGTGTGTGTAGCCCGTGCTGTCTGTGTGTGTAGCCCGTGTTGTGTGTGTGTAGCCCGTGCTGTGTGTGTGTAGCCCGTGTTGTGTGTGTGTAGCCCGTGTTGTGTGTGTGTAGCCCGTGCTGTGTGTGTGTAGCCCGTGTTGTGTGTGTGTAGCCCGTGTTGTGTGTGTGTAGCCCGTGCTGTGTGTGTGTAGCCCGTGTTGTGTGTGTGTAGCCCGTGCTGTGTGTGTAGCCCGTGCTGTGTGTGTGTAGCCCGTGTTGTGTGTGTGTGTGTAGCCCGTGCTGTCTGTGTGTGTAGCCCGTGCTGTGTGTGTGTGTGTGTAGCCCGTGCTGTCTGTGTGTGTAGCCCGTGCTGTGTGTGTGTGTGTAGCCCGTGTTGTGTGTGTGTAGCCCGTGCTGTCTGTGTGTGTGTAGCCCGTGTTGTGTGTGTGTAGCCCGTGTTGTGTGTGTGTAGCCCGTGCTGTGTGTGTGTGTAGCCCGTGCTGTGTGTGTGTAGCCCGTGTTGTGTGTGTGTAGCCCGTGCTGTGTGTGTGTAGCCCGTGTTGTGTGTGTGTAGCCCGTGCTGTGTGTGTGTGTAGCCCGTGCTGTGTGTGTAGCCCGTGTTGTGTGTGTGTAGCCCGTGCTGTGTGTGTGTGTGTAGCCCGTGTTGTGTGTGTAGTCCGTGCTGTGTGTGTGTAGCCCGTGCTGTCTGTGTGTGTGTAGCCCGTGCTGTGTGTGTGTGTAGCCCGTGTTGTGTGTGTGTAGTCCGTGCTGTCTGTGTGTGTGTAGCCCGTGCTGTGTGTGTGTAGCCCGTGCTGTCTGTGTGTGTGTAGCCCGTGCTGTCTGTATGTGTGTAGCCCGTGCTGTCTGTGTGTGTAGCCCGTGCTGTCTGTGTGTGTAGCCCGTGCTGTGTGTGTGTAGCCCGTGCTGTCTGTGTGTGTGTAGCCCGTGCTGTCTGTGTGTGTGTAGCCCGTGCTGTCTGTGTGTGTGTAGCCCGTGCTGTCTGTGTGTGTGTAGCCCGTGCTGTCTGTGTGTGTGTAGCCCGTGCTGTGTGTGTGTGTGTAGCCCGTGCTGTCTGTGTGTGTGTAGCCCGTGCTGTGTGTGTGTGTGTAGCCCGTGCTGTGTGTGTGTGTGTAGTCCGTGCTGTGTGTGTGTAGCCCGTGCTGTCTGTGTGTGTGTAGCCCGTGCTGTGTGTGTGTGTAGCCCGTGTTGTGTGTGTGTAGTCCGTGCTGTGTGTGTGTAGCCCGTGCTGTCTGTGTGTGTAGCCCGTGCTGTCTGTGTGTGTAGCCCGTGCTGTCTGTGTGTGTGTAGCCCGTGCTGTCTGTGTGTGTAGCCCGTGCTGTCTGTGTGTGTAGCCCGTGCTGTCTGTGTGTGTAGCCCGTGCTGTCTGTGTGTGTAGCCCGTGCTGTCTGTGTGTGTGTAGCCCGTGCTGTCTGTGTGTCTCTGTGTGTGTGGTTTGAGGTTGTGGCGTGGCCTGTGCGTGTTATCTGCGTGTGTGTGCGTGTCGTGTGTTGTCCGTGTGTGCACTACGTGTGTGTGCACTACGTGCGTGTACTGTGTGTGTGTGCACTACGTGTGTGTGTACTGTGTGTGTGTGCACTACGTGTGTGTGTACTGTGTGTGTGCACTACGTGTGTGTGCACTACGTATGTGTGTACACTACGTGTGTGTGTGCACTACGTGTGTGTGCACTACTTGTGTGTGTGTGTATACTGTGTGTGTGTGTACTGTGTGTGTGTGCATTACGTGTGTGTGTACTGTGTGTGTGTGTACTGTGTGTGTGTGCACTACGTGTGTGTGTACTGTGTGTGTGCACTACGTGTGTGTGTGTGCACTACGTGTGTGTGTACTGTGTGTGTGCACTACGTTTGTGTGCACTACGTGTGTGTGCACTACGTGTGTGTGTGTGTACTGTGTGTGCACTACGTGTGTGTGTGTACTGTGTGTGTGTGTGCACTACGTGTGTGTGTGTGTACTGTGTGTGCACTACGTGTGTGTGTGTACTGTGTGTGTGTGTGCACTACGTGTGTGTGTGTGTACTGTGTGTGTGTGCACTACGTGTGTGTGTGTGCACTACGTGTATTCGAGCTCACGGCATTGTGCGTTCTGTGTGTCGAGCAGGACAACAAGGCGTGTTGTCTGTACAGTAGTTGATGCGACTGCGTTCTGCCTGTGCGTTGTCTGTACGCGCCCTGGGGGTGCGTTTGTGGTGTTGTTCCGTGTGCGTGGCGTGTGTCTCGCTTTGTGTGTGAGTGTGAACGCGTCGTGTTCTGGTGAATGTGCCTGCAGTGTGAGTGTGTGTGAGTGTTGTTGTTGTATGCGTGTCGTGTTCTGGTGAATGTGCCTGCAGTGTGAGTGTTGTTGTTGTATGCGTGTCGTGTTTGTGTTGGATGTACACGCGCGGACGCCTCCATCCTGATGACGCCCGTGTTTGGATTCCCACACGGGGGTAACAGCAGAGCCATGTCGAGTCTGAATGTGCTCTGGGCCTCCCCCAGGTCGACTCGGCCTGAAATGAACCCTTAAGAATGTATGGATACAAAGGCGGGCGGGAACTCTTACTCGCCACACTGCTCTTTGCCTACCACCTTAATAGGCGCTTGCTAACGGCAATTAACCCGGAAGTGTACATTGTCTCGACATACGATCTTTGTTTTACGAGTGTCTGTGCGTGGTATCGGTAGCGAGTGATACGAGCATGCCACGTGCCTCCCCTAGGTTAACTCGGCCTAAAACGAGCGATGTGTGGCATTGGGAAGAAGACGTTCAAAAGCGGCCGGGCATCGTGCTGGCCACACCATCCCATCGCATGGCATTGCGGCCTTTATAGATGCATGCAACAGCACTTGCCCCAGCGGCCTACAGAGGTTACATGGGAGGGGAGACGTTTTGTCTTTGTTCATGCCTGTGTGTATTAAAGATAAAAGGCGCAGCCCTGTATCTGCTCCTTTCACGCCACTGCTAACAGAAAGGCCTCCACTGCAGAGCTCACGAGACGTCGTGGAAGAGATCAGCGGACCCACCTCACCACACCCCACCTCACCTCACCAATCCCCACAACACCACACCCCACCACACCACACCCACCACACCACTCCCCACCACACCCCACCCCACCTCACCTCCCACTTGTGTGTGTGTTGGGTGTCTATGTGAAGGGTGTGTGTGTGTATGTTGGGTGTCTATGTGAAGGGTGTGTGTATGTTGGGTGTCTATGTGAAGGGTGTGTGTGTGTGCTGGGTGTAAATGTGAAGGGTGTGTGTGTATGTTGGGCGTCTATGTAAAGGGTGTGTGTGTGTGTGTTGGGTGTCTATGTGAAGGGTGTGTGTGTGTATGTTGGGTGTCTATGTGAAGGGTGTGTGTGTATGTTGGGTGTACATGTGTAGGGTGTGTGTGTGTATGTTGGGCGTCTATGTAAAGGGTGTGTGTATGTTGGGTGTCTATGTGAAGGGTGTGTGTGTATGTTGGGTGTCTATGTGAAGGGTGTGTTTATGTTGGGTGTATATGTGAAGGGTGTGTGTGTGTATGTTGGGTGTATATGTGTAGGGTGTGTGTGTATGTTGGGTGTCTATGTGAAGGGTGTGTGTATGTTGGGTGTCTATGTGAAGGGTGTGTATGTTGGGTGTCTATGTGAACGGTGTGTGTGTGTGTGTTGGGTGTACATCTGAAGGGTGTGTATGTTTGTTGGGTGTCTCTATGTGAGGGGTGTGTGTGTGTGTGTGTGCTGGGTGTCTATGTGAAGGGTGTGTGTGTGTATGTTGGGTGTATATGTGAAGGGTGTGTGTGTGTATGTTGGGTGTATATGTGTAGGGTGTGTGTGTATGTTGGGTGTCTATGTGAAGGGTGTGTGTGAGTATGCTGGGTGTCTATGTGAAGGGTGTGTGTGTATGTTGGGTGTATATATGTAGGGTGTGTGTATGTTGGGTGTCTATGTGAATGGTCTGTGTGTGTGTGCTGGGTGTACAGGTGAAGGGTGTGTGTGTGTATGTTGGGAGTCTATGTGAAGGGTGTGTGTGTTGGGTGTCTATGTGAAGGGTGTGTGTGTATGTTGGGTGTATATGTGAAGGGTGTGTGTGTATGTTGGGTGTCTATGTGAAGGGTGTGTGTGTATGCTGGGTGTACATGTGTAGGGTGTGTGTGTGTATGTTGGGTGTCTATGTGAAGGGTGTGTGTATGTTGGATGTCTATGTGAAGGGTGTGTGTGTGTGTTGGGTGTCTATGTGAATGGTCTGTGAGTGTGTTGGGTGTCTATGTGAAGGGGGTGAATGTTGGGTGTCTATGTGAAGGGTGTGTGTGTATGGTGGGTGTCTATGTGAAGGGTGTGTGTATGTTGGGTGTCTATGTGAAGGGTGTGTGTGTATGTTGGGTGTCTATGTAAACGGTGTGTGTGTGTGTTGGGTGTACATCTGAAGGGTGTGTATGTTTGTTGGGTGTCTCTATGTGAAGGGTGTGTGTGTGTATGCTGGGTGTCTATGTGAAGGGTGTGTGTGTGTGTATGTTGGGTGTATATGTGAAGAGGGTGTGTGTGTATGTTGGGTGTACATGTGTAGGGTGTGTGTGTGTATGTTGGGTGTCTATGTGAAGGGTGTGTGTGTGTATGCTGGGTGTCTATGTGAAGGGTGTGTGTGTGTATGTTGGGTGTACATGTGTAGGGTGTGTGTGTGTATGTTAGGTGTCTATGTGAAGGGTGTGTGTGTGTATGCTGGGTGTCTATGTGAATGGTCTGTGTGTGTGTGCTGGGTGTACATGTGAAGGGTGTGTGTGTGTATGTTGGGTGTCTATGTGAAGGGTGTGTGTGTTGGGTGTCTATGTGAAGGGTGTGTGTATGTTGGGTGTCTATGTGAAGGGTGTGTATGTTGGGTGTCTATGTGAAGGGTGTGTGTGTATGTTGGATGTACATGTGAAGGGGGTGTGTGTGTGTGTGTTGGGTGTCTATGTGAAGGGTGTGTGTATGTTGGGTGTCTATGTGAAGGGTGTGTATGTTGGGTGTCTATGTGAAGGGTGTGTGTGTATGTTGGATGTACATGTGAAGGGTGTGTGTGTATGTTGGGTGTATATGTGAAAGGTGTGTGTGCTGGGTGTACATGTGAAGGGTGTGTGTATGTTGGGTGTCTATGTGAAGGGTGTGTGTGTGTATGTTGGGTGTCTATGTGAAGGGTGTGTGTGTATGTTGGGTGTACATGTGAAGGGTGTGTGTGTGTTGGGTGTCTATGTGAAGGGTTTGTGTGTGTGTTGGGTGTATAAGTGAAGGGTGTGTGTGTTGGGTGTATATGTGAAGGGTGTGTGTGCTGGGTGTACATGTGAAGGGTGTGTGTATGTTGGGTGTCTATGTGAAGGGTGTGTGTGTATTTTGGGTGTCTATGTGAAGGGTGTGTGTGTATGTTGGGTGTACATGTGAAGGGTGTGTGTGTGTTGGGTGTATAAGTGAAGGGTGTGTGTGTGTTGGGTGTATATGTGAAGGGTGTGTGTGCTGGGTGTACATGTGAAGGGTGTGTGTGTGTTGGGTGTCTATGTGAAGGGTTTGTGTGTGTGTTGGGTGTATATGTGAAGGGTGTGTGTCTATGGTGGGTGTCTATGTGAAGGGTGTGTGTATACGTGCCCTGTGTATGGTTTAGTTCACTGAGACCAGAATTCGATTCCTGCTCACGACAAAACACAGTGGCGAAATATTTGAACCGGTTATGCCCCTCCACCACCCCCTATTTTGAGTGAGTCTCAAATGAGTGCCTGGTGCGGTGTGTAAACGTCACCTCTCGGGAGACAAAGGCGGCCGGGCGTTGTGCTGGCCACCCACCCACCCCCTCGTGTGCCGCCCTTCATAGGTGTTCGCAAACAACACCTGCCCCAACAATCTTTGGAAGACGATACGTTTGTATTCTATGTGTATATTTGACTATATATGTAAATTTGACTATATGTGAATTTTCGCGATAATGTCGCTCTGTGTGTTGCTGTGTCTGTAAGTCGCTCGGTCAGTCTGCAGCCGCTGCGTGTCACTCGCCGTGTGTGTCAGTGTGTGTGTCAGTGTGTGTGTCAGTGTGTGTGTATGAGTGTGTGAGTGTGTCAGTGTGTGTGTCAGTGTGTGTGTATGAGTGTGTGAGTGTGTCAGTGTGTGTGTCAGTGTGTGTGTCAGTGTGTGTGTATGAGTGTGTGAGTGTGTGTGTGTGTCAGTGTATGTGTATGAGTGTGTGAGTGTGTCAGTGTGTGTGTCAGTGTGTGTATGAGTGTGTGAGTGTGTCAGTGTGTGTGTCAGTGTGTGTGTCAGTGTGTGTGTATGAGTGTATGTGTGTGTATGGAGGGTGTGTGTGTGTCAGTGTGTGTGTGTGTCAGTGTGTGTGTGTATGAGTGTGTATGTCAGTGTGTGTGTGTGTACGAGTGTGTATGTCAGTGTATGTGTATGAGTGTGTATGTAAGTGTGTGTGTATGTCGGTGTGTGTGTATGTCGGTGTGTGTGTGTATGTCGGTGTGTGTCATTGTGTATGAGTGTGTGTGTATGAGTGTGTGTGTGTCAGTGTGTGTGTCAGTGTGTGTGTGTATATGAGTGTGTATGTCAGTGTGTGTGTATAAGTGTGTGTGTATGGAGTATGTGTGTGTATGTTAGTGTGTGTGTCAGTGTGTGTGTGTATGAGTGTGTGTGTCAGTGTGTGTATGTGTGTATGAGTGTGTGTGTGTCGGTGTGTGTGTCAGTGTGTGTGTGTATATGAGTGTGTATGTCAGTGTGTGTGTATAAGTGTGTGTGTATGGAGTGTGTGTGTGTGTATGTTAGTGTGTGTGTCAGTGTGTGTATGAGTGTGTGTGTATGGAGTGTGTCTGTGTATGGATTGTGTGTGTGTATGTCTGTGTGTGTGTATGTCAGTGTGTGTGTATATGTCAGTGTGTGTGTATGTATGTCGGTGTGCATGAGTGTGTGTGTCAATGTGTGTGTATGAGTGTGTGTTAGTGTGTAAGGGGAGCGGTAGTGTAGCGGTTAGCGCGCTGCGCTATGAACCTGGCGACCCGGGTTCGATTCCCGCTCACGGCTAACACCAGTGACGATTATCTGAACCGGTCCTGGGCCTCCCCTAGGTCGACTCAGCCTTAAATGAGTACCTGGTGCGGTGTGTAAACATCGCCACTAGGGAGACAAAGGCGGTCGGGCGTGGTGCTGGCCACCCACCCCCTCGTGTACCGTTCCGGCCTTCATAGGTGCTCGCTAACAGCACTTGCCCCTACAGTCTGTTCAGGCTATACGGGGGATCTTTGTTAGTGTGTATGAGTGTGTGTGTGAGTGTGTGTATATGAGTGTGTATGTCAGTGTGTGTATGTGTGTGTATGGAGTGTGTGTGTGTGTCAGTGTGTGTATGAGTGTGTATATGAGTATGTGTGTGTATAAGAGTGTGTGTATGTGTGTGTGTATGAATGCCAGTGTGTATGGAGTGTGTGTGTGTGTATGTCGGTGGGTGTGTGTCCGCGTGCGTGTCCGCGTGTCCGCGCCGGGCCTTGACGCGCGCGATCGCTCCACGCGGCGCGTGCGGGCGGGTGGCGCGGCGCGGTGATTAGCGACAGATTTAGGAGTCGGCGGCGGCGGCGGCAGCAGCAGCAG